TTTCACTTTTTGGTGCAATAGGTGCAATTCGCTAAAGCTAGTTTGAGTCCCAACTGACCTTAATTTGTCAGCTGATCAACAACGTCAAATATCCAAGGTCAGGAGTAGTTTATTTATGATGTTTACCAAAAGACCCCCGGCAAAATGCTTATGGTTTGCCCTATTAGTCCCCACACCCTAAGCTATTCAAGGGTGACTTAAGAAATGATCAAATTTGTTCAAATCCTGCTTTCTCAGTGTCATACATGCACCAGAACCAGCCACGATGATTTATACTAATCAAAAATAATATCCACATTACCATCCCTAGATTCATCATTCCTCAAAAAACACACACACATACCTTAAAACTGTAAACATTTCACAATTCAGTTATGCCGTATGAAATGATAATAATTAAATTTTAGAAATTGCATCAAGCAAGTCAATAGTTTTTGAGCAATATTGATTATACAAATTTTGTGTACATTGTGGAATGAAGCACAAATTTTCCAATTTCTCCGGTCCGGAATATTTAAACTAAAATTATTGACAGAAGAAAAACGCTGTTTATCTGTGAATAGATGAATGGAGTCAATGAATGGCTGTCGATGATTATTAATTCAGAAAATGTAAATTTTCAATTTGATAACTTTTCAATAAGCATCCATTCAACATCACTTATGGGATACTTTATTTTTTCTTTATGTGTGCCTTTAAATAAACTTTTTGGATTCAATGAATAAGAAAACTTTTATGGCACAAAGAAAAATTTGAAGGAGGAGGTAAGTCTAGGGATGCAAAAGATGAGAGAATTTAAAGCTATGGCCAATATTAACAAATATTAAGCATAATAGGTATGCTGAAGGGAAAGAATCTTCGATATAAAAAAGCAATAAAAATAAATTTTTATCAAGGCATCGTGCTTCCATCTCATTTTATAAGCATTGTTGCTATCTGTGGAAGTAAAAGGAGATTTTTTTTTCTGTTACTGCCTTCATGGAAGAGCTCAATGTATGTTAATAGCCGTTTTTCTTTGCTTTTTTTGTGTGAATAATTAATTATTCTATTAATTTAAGGCTGAATCTTGTTAGATGAGTTGCCGGAACCTCATCTTCACTTGATATTCTTGTGGTTAGAGGAAATAGGATTTAATGAGATGATGGAAAGAATAAGACGCAGTTTTTGTCAATTACTATTATAAGAAGTAATTGAAAATGTGGTCAAAAATGTATATTGTAAAGGGTTCGAGTCCCATAAATGTAATCAGTAAATATATCGTAATCCAACTTTTCTTTTTACTTTTGCATAATTTCTAGTTTTTATTGGACGTCATTGGCAGGGTGGGGGAGTTTTTTGCGATTTAAATCAAAATCCCAAATCAAATTGTGATTTATGATTTAAATCACATTGTATGAGGATTTTTTTTGGGATTTTAAATCACTTGAAGGTGAAAATTTGTTAAGAATTTTTCAGATGGTTATTACAAATCATTAATCATAAATCATGGATATCCTTTCTGGTAATGGAATAATGACAGCAACCAATGATTCTATGGTTTAGTTCATGAATTTTCATTTTCTGTGTCTTGTTGCTTAAGTATGCAGATATTGGTAGAGCTGTACATGATAAAGCATGAATTGATCTGGCTCCATATGAGCAACTAGTCACTTCCAGTCCTTTTAAAGCGTTTTTTGATAAGTTTTCAATGTCAAAGAGGTATACGTTTGTATTTCTTAGCCACAGGTAAGATTAGACACTGGAACTGCCCAGTTCCTTTAGTGCCTAAATCACAAAAAAATCTTTCATACAAAATGATTTAAATCATAAATCAAAAATAAATCACTTGGGTAAAATGATTTAAATCAAAAATCATTTTTCAAATCATTGCAAAATGATTTTGATTTTGATTTATGATTTAAATCCCCACCCTGGTCATTGGTAATTAACCTCTTGAATTTTCAGCAAAAAACCTTATATCACCCATCTGCATTCCCGTCAACATCTCCTTCTATTTTTCATTTATTAAGCATATTTTTTTATGACAGCACGACAATATTTAAATTACATTTGTTCAAATTTCAACAACAATATTGAACGGAAATGGAAGTGGAATGAGAAGAAAAAGAAAAACTTTTGAATACTTTTCATAAACTTTTTTCTTTCACTTCCAATCAAAGTAAATTGATTTTATTTCCAAGTTCATCTTATGGGAAGCAGAAGGGGAATAAGAATAAGAAGGATTTTAACATCATTGACTTTGTTTGTGTCATCGGTTCTTGTTTGGGCATGTTTGGTGATGAGTTAGATTATTTTGAGTTGTTATGGCTTATAGCTTGAATTTGAGGATGTAACAAGATGGGTTCTTTACTTTTCTTACTTTCTGAATATGACTTAGAACTATGCAAGCCTAAGAGATTGAATTGACTCTGTATGTGGTTTTAAATTTGAAGACTTGCTTGATATCACCCACAGGCTTATTATTAATACCTTTATTGCTTTCTTTATATATGTTGAGTTCGGGTTGTAAACCTCACCATCCTTATCCTGAAAGTGGGGCTGCCACAGGCGAGGTTGTGTGGATAGGCCTTTAATCTATCCTTTGAAGCGCTTATTCTAGCATAAGGCTCGGTCACCAGCGGTGCATTTAGAAGTATGGGATACCACGAGAAAGTATGCACTTGACATTTTTTCTATAAAGCTTAACCTACAATAAAATGCGTTTTATCCTCAAAAAAATCTATCAAAAAAGTCTCACCAACCATCTTCTTTCAATTCTTATATCCCAAAAAAGGGAGTCTCAAAAAAAAGTTTTTTAATTTTGAAATGTTGACATGCGACAGTGAATGAGAGCATCAAGATGGATAGAGATAGAGTGAGATAAAGTTTTTTGTGCTATGAAATTGGTTTGAATTTTGTGCTCGTCTCATTCTTTGTTGCTGATAAAAGCAAAAGAGAATTAGAATCATTTATATGTTAATCTATTTTGTTAAGAATAAACATAAACTTTATGCTGTGAAGCTGTATAAATATTTTACTTTGTATACATCTCAAATAAGAGCTTTTAACTCTTTATAATTTTAAAGGGATTATAAAAAAAAATCTTGGCATTTTTTTAATGATTTATTTGAGAAGAAGGGAGAGAAAGGGGAGAGGGGAAGGAAGCAGGGGTAGGATTATGACGTCATAGATAAGCAACCCCATAGATAAACAACCCCTTCAAAAAGTTCCCAACCCTTTAAAAAGTTCCCAACCCTTTAAAAAGTTCCCAACCCTTTAAAAATTTCCCACCCCTTCAAAACGTTCCCACCCCTTTAAAAAGTTTTAACCCTTTAAAAAATTCCCACCCCTTTAAAAATTTCCCACCCCTTTTCATAAGTAATAAATGAGTACGAGGCTATTATCTCCTTGTAATTAAAGTTAAGAGTCTTTAATGAAAGCTAAATATAATCCTAATAATGACTATCTTATCATTAAAATAAAATTTATTTAATTTTGTATACATTTACATAAAATACCTGTCATAATAAAATTTGAAAGGAGCCTATAACGATTTGTTGGAAGTAGAAAATTAATTCAAATGTTCATGTATAGTATGTGAAATATTCACAGCAACAAAAAGGAAGATAAATATTATTATACATGTGGAAATAATAGTAAAATCCATAAGAGCGATGAAAAGCTCAAGAGCTTTCATGTAACGAATCAGAATGGCACTGATTTCAGTCAGATAAACCATTTAACATCTCATTTTCTTCTTTCACCTCCTACTTGGATATTGTGTGTATATGAATGCCATATAAGACTATCGAGAGACACTTAAGCACATGCAAAATTTGATAAAAGCTCTTCAATTTTCTTTTCTACTCTTGAGTACATTTTCATTTGAATTCTTTATTTATATTGTACATATTATTGTATTTCTCATCTTATTCTATCTCTTATTGCTTTCCATTCGCATAAGAAATGCCCAAAAGGCCTGTTGAAATAAACACTTTTGTTATCAGATTTTCTATTTTTTCTGACAAAATAATTTTTTTTTGTTCCTTATTTGGGGGCTTTTGATGCTTGATTTGTGTAGTTTTGGAAGTGGCTGACTTCGTTGGAAGACTGGTTGGAGTCTTAATAATCATATCAATGTATTAATGTATGCATGAGGTGAGATTGACTAAGTATGAGGGTGTTGCTGCGGATATCGTGGTTAATTCGGTAATTTGTCATCAATTAACCACAATGAGGTTGCTTAAAGGTGATGATGAATCAATAATAAGAGCAGACTTGGTCGTTCTGAATCAAAGATGCTATTGTAAGTATCCCGATAGGCATACGGCTTAAAAATGGATCTAAATCTGGCGTACAGAACAGCATGAACTCTGCACTATGCCTAAATTCACCAAATCTGACACAGTGCCGTGTTAATGCTGTCCTGGAAGCCTGATTAACAGCCATATTTAAGGCGTGTGTCTTTCGGAAGTGATATGATTAATACTAGGGAGGATAAAAGAAGGGGATTGCAGATCCTTGTCATTTTGAACTTGGGGAGTGCAAAAAGGAGACGGAATATTGACAGATACATTTTTTGAACTACACCTTGTGATTAATGAGATTTCCAAGATGCGGAACTGATAAATCGGACTACAGTCAATTTCACTGTGCTTCACAACCTTGAAGATTATTGGCTCATCAAATAAGTCATACATGAATCATCTCTCAATTCATTCTCTTAAACAGCGCTCTATCCCAAAACACACCCACAACATCAATGATTATCCTTACCAATTTCCATTTCATCTGCCTAGCATCATCATGGCGTGAATAAAAGAAGAGAATGTGAAGATGATAAGAGATGGAAAAAAAAAATCAAATTTCCTATATAAATAAATTTCACCTATTTTCTTTCCTTCATCGCTCGTTTCCTGAAGGATTTATGTTTAAAGGTTTACATTACTTTAAATGCACATGAGACGAACATTACGAATTTAATAGAGCAAAATGATCAAGTGAGCATTAAAATTTGAGCATTTTATTATTTTCTCATTTTTGACACAGTAAAATTCAGCTTTAAATTTCGCTGTGTAGCCATGAACAGTACGAAGAATAAAGAATGTTGTGATGAAAGAAAAATTTCAAGTGAAGCAAAAGGCAAGAGCGATAAAATACCACGAATATTTCCAACAGTTCCTGTTATACCAAAATATCAACGTCCTCAATCTACATTTGCAAGCTTTCTAATGCCCATTGAATGTCAATCAAGTATGAAAATTTTTTTCTTTTCCTTAAAATCATTTTTGGCAGTGGGTTGGTACGTGAGTGATGATGGGTTTTTAAAACTGGCTGTAGATGGTTTGTGGTTTATAACTTCTAGTCTGGGTGATTTTGACACTCTCAGATGCTATTTCTGAGTAAGTTTGGTGCCTTGGATCATGTTTGTCAATTGTGACTCAAGATCCTCAGCTTCAAAGATCTGACATCCCATAAAAAATCAGACATCATTTATTAATAGACCCCCAACCCCCCTTAAAAAATAAATTTCTTTTCACATTACTTTTTTTCTTTTCTTACGGCTGCAGGCGAGGAAGATGAGAAGCTTTTACATTTATCCATGGAACTGAAAAAAAATCGCTCAAATGCGAATGCCATTCATGATATAATCGCAAATTTGAAAAGCTCTCTATTGGAATTAAATCGAAATTTAGAAAAAAATAAAAAATGAAAGGAAATTCTTTAGGTGCTGTATATGGATGTGCAGGATGATTTAGACAGATTCCTCACCTGGATGTCTTTTGATGATTTATGTAAATTCTTAATAAAGTTGTCAATTTTTTTGTGTAGTTCATGAGTTTTTTGAGTGAATAGAGATGCTTATTGGATGTGAGACAACATTTTGATGGTTAAACTGACAATCTTAATCATTATCGTAGCTATGGAGGATTCCATGGTCTGAATCCGACGTAGAAAAATGACCCTAGTTGCTTCCACCTCATAGCTGATTATGGCTAATACAAATTACCAAATAAACCAGTGTATCGGGTAGAAACCTGATGCGGATATATTCACACCGTACCATCAAAAGTCTTATGGATAGACCAAGATTTGCTCAGCATAAGTTTGAAGGGTGGGCGTGGTACGGCCGAGACCCATATCGACACAGTTCAAATGTTATACCTAATTTATGTTATAATTATGTCAGCTACAAAAACACTTAGTTTGAAGTTTGTCACCCTCGGGAACACTATGAACCAGTATAGCTGATTTTGGTCCAAATCTCGGCCATACTTCACACATATTTGAACCACATTTTCTCGTAAATGTTAAAATACTATTAAAAAGTAATTAATCCTGAATTATGTCGTTATTTTGTCAAGTGTTTTAAGATAAAGAATTTGTTCTTTGGTTTCCACAGTGAAGAGATGAAAATTCAGATAGGGTAGTCGAAATTTTAGATTTTGTTTTTTTTTAAGCTATGAATTACAAAAAGTAATACTGGTATGTGATTTATGTCAGAATTATGACAATTCAAATAAAACATCCAAAAAATTTTTTTGAGCAAAGTACACCATAGAAAATCAATTTTCAATTTTGGACTAGGGGCGACCCTAGTCAAAATCTAGTTTTTCACTTTTTTTTTTTCGAGGATAAATCTAAATACATTAAAACTTTGTTAGAGTAGCACGGATCAAATGTAAAAAACTAGAAGTCTCTACGATGTCTCGTTATTGAGATTTCTTGCTGATAACTTGCTTGTTTGCTTGTTTGCTTGCTTACAGAAAGCATATTTTGCGATTTTCTCAGCAATGCCCCAACCAATTTGAAATCCGTTTTTTGCAAAAGATGTGAAATTCAAGGCACAAACTTTTCATTTCTGAACATTTTAAGCTATCTTGCTCCATATCCTCACAAAATCCAAAAAACTGATTTTTCAATCTGAACAAAAACAAAACATTCACACGTGAGAACGGTGTGAATATAATACAAAAAAAAGGCAATTTAAAAATGTACAAAATGGACTTTCATTTTTATTACACTTCGTGTGAAATCAATATACATCCATAGAACAAATAACAGAATCAGCAGGCGAGCAAAGATACAGAAATAATGTTCATAACATCATTAAAAGTTTATTTTATATTTTGTTGTTTCCCTTCAGTGCGTTTATTTATTGATATTGCTCTTCCTCATTACGAATTGATGTGGCCTCGAATGCCAATCGTTGTGCCAATTGTTCCTCACCGATCTTAGCATGTTCGGCAGCAATCTTTTCAAACAAGTCTAAATGCTTCTGCTTTGCGAATGCTAAATTATTCAGTGATATAAAGTTATTCATTTTATTTTATTTTATACTCAAACATATTATTGAGGAATAAATAATTGATGTGCAGGCAGACTTACCAACAGCTTCTGTTTCCTTGGGTTGTCCTCTTTCTTCAACATAATTTGGATCGGAATTTCTTGCAGCTATCTTATTGTATAAGGCAAAATGACGTTGAGTGGCTAATTGAACAGCTTTTGTGTCTTGAACTGGATGTGAGAGTTGTGGATGGAATCCTGGAAATTGGAATTGGAATTTTGATTAGTGTTTGGAGTTGTTTATCAGTAATGTTCATATAGAAGTTAGCTTTTGGACCCTCTGAACCAGAGTTGCGAAACAGCTCACCTGTGACAGGTGAGAACCTTTCAATTCCTTGATAATTTGTATGGTTTTGTTGGAAAAACCTTATAAATTATCAAGGAATTGTAGAGTTCTCACCTGTCACAGGTGCCTGTTTCGCAGCTCTGCTCTGAACTACTTAGCTGTAATAAATTGTGCATTAAGACTGTCATAAATCATGTCAAAAGCTAAATAAACCTCTTGATGCCTGCAATTGCATTTAGTCATGCATCCAAACATCCCCACTATCCACTGACCCCATTATCATCCCCTAAACCCTGATTCCCATCCTCACCTTGCTCATCAGCAACATATTCAACAGTTCGAACTTGTTGACGTGGATCAACATACGAAAATGCTCCACGTACAACACCTGTACCGTCTCCAACTTCCGAATGAGTTCCTATTAAGAAAGAAGAAAAATTTCCATTGGAGAAAATTATGTCATGCTGCACAGTCTGTTTATGCTGTGCTGTTTAATAAAATTAAGTATATTTACTATCTACATGTCCTGGATAGCGTCCCGCTTCATATTGGAAACTATATGGATTTGGAATGTTGTACTCGGGTGTTGTGTCAACAATATGGGATACATCGGCAAGCGTTAAGCCAATTATTGTAATGAAAATCTGTAAGTAAAATAATAAAAAGTTGTGGATTTACAAAAAAAAGAAGCTTTTATGATAATGAATTGTTATTTAAAGGTAATGTGTGGGATGGATAATGTCTTGTTCAGTTGATGTTGTTCGGTAGATGGGGAAGTGAGTTTTTAGGGATGTTGGATAGATTTAATGGCCTTTAGGTTGGGAAATTGTTGTAATTGAATGATAAATTGTGATTTAGTCAGAGATACAGCTTTTTGTGGATGTAGAAGCTGTTTGCAGCCTGGAGACTTCTTCTGCAGCAATTTTAAAACCCCAAATGAATCCATAAAAACTACAGGAAATGAATCAATAACCGAACCATTTGCATAACAGCTTTAGCAGATCAGCAAACGAATTTATGAGAAAAGTTTCAACTCTTGAAGATTAAATAGCATTAGATTTGCATCCAAATAATGAATTACTCTCAGTGCATCAATGCAAGAAGAAGTTTAAAGTAGTTCATTATGCTAAATGGGTTTGAAGGTGTGGGAATTCGGACAATAATTTATGGATTTAATTAAAAGGAGCTTTTTTTTGTGTTTCTTTAATCTTTAGTAGAAAAAAATAATGAATTTGCAAAAAAAAAAAACGGTGAATCAAATGAAAGATAAAATTTATTTAAACTATAGATTAGGAATCGAACCTTTTTCTTAATTTCTCACATGTCTTATTGCAAATCAATTGCTCTATAAAACAAGTTTATAATATTTTTTTCAGTCTCACAAAATCTTAATATAAATTAAAACGAAATCTCATCCTCAATACTGAATCTGCTCACCATTTAATTAAGAAGGCACGTCCAAAAGTATATTTTAAAAAAAATTCTCATTGTATTTCAATCAACTTTTATCTTGACATAACCCCAAAATGATTTCATTAAAATCACCCATACTCGCTGACTAAATCCAAACATAATTACTGCCTATTTGCACGAAATCGTGTGAAACACTCCAAAGCTTCCGTCTTTTAAGCAACAAGAAGAAGAATCAAAGCAGCAACTAAAAACAACATTTATGTGCTTGATAAAATTCAATATAAAACTTCCACATCTAATTCCACAAATCAGCCAGTCCACGAAACAATAATAAAATATTCAGCTATCGTGCTTAACGGCTATTGAACCTTTCAACACCAATAACAGCCTATGTATGCCTATGTTTACCTTAATTACATTTATTGGTATGGATAAATATTGAATTGAAAAGTGAAATTATTATATAAGCTGTGTATGGACTTAAGCCATGACGAATCTCCAAATCAAAGCATTGTGTCCAAAATTGATGCCAACAACAGTCTAGAAGCTTTAAAAAATATCCATCACCAAATAAAAGTGAAATGCTATTCTGTGCCTCATTTCACAAGAATTTTGTGTTGTTTTTGTCGTTGAGTTCGGGGAATTAAAATTTAAATTTGATTATAATGTAAAATGATGATATTCAGCCTTGATTCTTGTGTGATTCACTCCGTAATAGAATTCTGTTGAGGTGTTTCATTTGAATATTTTCTGCTGTGTTTAGTCTCGGTTGTTGTGAATTAGTAATTTAATATTTTCTCATTAATTGTTATGATTTTTGTATGGAGGGAAGAGGTGGGTATCTAGGAGGATTTTAGGGGGTCTGAAGGGAATTTTGAAAGGAACTTTGAGGTTATGTTACATTATTTTGTGGATTTTGAATGAAAATGTGTTTGAGACTAAGAAATTTGACTAGAATCATCTCTTTTGAGCAGAGCTCGAAGTCGACGAAATTTTTCACCGTACAGAATCGATAAAAATCTCGACTTTGAGTACGACCTGAATAAGTTTTAGTTCAAACAGTAGACAAGATGATGCGGGAGGACCGAAGGGGATTAAGTTTGGGTCTTGAGTAGCTTAAAACCAGACTTACTAAAGCTTAATGCACTCTACACTTTGAATATTGAACTATTCATGACCTTCTCCCCTTTTTCATATAAATTCATTAAATTTTGGCGAATTCCGACAATAATAATCACAACAAATTCCATCAAAGCCCCCTCAAACCTCATTCCAAGTCAAACAACATCATCAAATTCACAGTATGTGTTTATACCGATTTTAAATAAATATATTTTTTTGCATGTGGAAATTTCCGTAAATGTCAAAAGCATTAAAGTTCAAAATAATGCTGAATAAAGCACGTATGAACGCTTTATGCTCAATAGAATCAATTTAATGGATTTTATCTTAAATCGATTAACAGAAAATTGCTTTCATGATTCAATTAAAATGTTTCAATGAAACTACATCAAAGTGTTGTAAGTAGTTTGTTGGATTCCCTTTTGATGGATTTTGTCAGGTTATTAAGTGCTGTATGGAATTTTGTTACTTTATGGCAATTCTTCTTTAACTTTGTGCAGGCATTACTGGTAATCTAATGTGAATTTTTCAAGAAAATTTATGCGACTTTGAGTTTAGGAACGTTCAATAATGACGTCCAAGTGGGGGGAGACAAGAAAAGTACAATAGAAATTCCTGGAAAAATGAAACATGACCGTTAACATTGGACATCATAAGTGAACGACCCTTTAGGGAGTTTAAAAATCTAATTCTCAATGGTCGGAATCGGCAGATGCCTCCTTTAAGAATATTGAAATTATTGGTGAATTTAAAAATATTTTGAGATTTAACTTGTAGAACCGGAATGATTCTTAAGGTCAGAGATGCATTGTTGACGAGTTTTATTAATGAATCGTCAATTTTTGATGAGAATTTGGATGATGATGTGAGTTTTATTTGATTTAATATGTAGGGTGTCTATAAACTGCATTTTTGGGGGTCTTCGCTTATTTCTGAATCCCAATTTCGTTTATTTTAGCTGATATAACTTATAAATAATCTAATATGGATGAAGTTCAGCCTAAAACTATGTTCCTTCTACGATAAAGTTTTCAATTTAATAAAACGAGCAATATCAAAAGCTATGTGCCAATTTAAACCATTTAAATGCCTCAAGACACAACAATATTAGCTAAATAATTTCAGCATTTCACTATAAAATTTATCACATTCCTGAATAATTCAATACCACTTAAATTTCAGCTGTTTAAGCCTTGAATGAATGTGAAATGGTCGACAATAAATAAACTTGCACTTAATAATTAATATGTTATGTAAAATATTGCTGAAAAATTACGCTTATTTGCTAAATTTAAGTTGCAATATTTTGTTATGGCATTATTGGTTCACGGCTGAACCATCTACATGCAGACAGTCATTCCTATCCACCCAATTAAATCCAAATGAATCACATCAAACTAATAATTCTGATAAAATTCCCACAAATCCAACTCATGCTCCCACAGCATATAAAATTAAGGAAGTCATAAAATTTCGATCTAATTCTCAGTAAGAACATAATTAATCACTAAATTAAATCCCTCATTTCATCTAATTAGATTTTGATGATAATCATCCTTTGATGCTTGGCACTACCTCGAAAAATTTATTTCCATCTTGTTCTCGAAGCTCAACAGTGAAGCTTTAAAACCTATTTATTATTCTCATTATAATTTAATCTCTTACAATTTGCACTCATTCAACTTTTACAAGCTATCATTTAAATAATCATAATAATGTCGAGACATAGCAACTTTCTCCACATAATTGATGCAATTAAACTACAAAAACTCTTCATGTTTACACTACAAGATTCTTTCCATCCTAAAAACTCCTGTTGCATGCACTCGACTTACCAAAATGCTCCTCATGATTCACTTTATTTTGTAGAAACTTTAAATGAAAATGAAAAATTACGCAATAAAACACTTTTGCTTTCAACTCAATTGCTTCGTGCAGTTTCTCGAAACCAACTGAATGTGAAGCTTATTTTTATATGTTATATACTCTCTTAACTCTTAACGAACCGTCTCCAATCTCAAAAAAAAAAAACTGTAAATCTTGGTCTTTTAAAGCGAGATGGCAGCAGAATTGTATACAGACGCATGCAGAGACTGGTTTGAGAGAATGAGCGAAGAAAAAATATAAAAGAAATACGAAACGAGTTATGCAAATGTGATGAGGTTTCATGGACATGCTGCTAAATGAGGTGTACAAGTGCTTAACGTCATCACTGCTTGAGACAGTCTTATTGTTGCTTTTTATGTATGTATGTGAACGAGAGTTTAGTTCTATGAGAGAATGAACAAGTAATAAAGTCCTTTTTAATGTGGTAAAGTTAGAGCGCATTTTTAAGGGTTTAAAAATAAGATAGATATGTTGAATGATACATGAGCGGTCGGACCGATGAAGAGATAGACTGTCATGCTGATAAATGGACAAATTCAACAAAGAAACAATGAAAAAATCAGATCTGCTGACAAATGGACTAAGAGCTGATCTCTAAAGGCACCTCTAGTGTCAGATTAATTTTATGTACACCCTATATTTTAGAAAGACAAGCTGACAAGCATTTTTAAGCAATCACGACCATGAAAAAAATTCATAGGTGCCGTTCACTTATAACGTCCAGGTTGGTGGAGGTCAGCAAGAAAAAAAGAATTGAAATTCCTGAAAATCCGTTGTTCCTTTTTTGAAAATGTCCGTTAATCTCGAACGTCATAAATGAACGACCCCTAGACAGTCTGACAAATCACAAATCTCAAATCAACATTCATAAAATCACCTCCAAATAAGTTGACAAAAGAGGTGTATGCTGTGTAGAGCTTTTTTCCACTGATAAAGAATTTTCATTTTTAAATTGTTTGTACGATCAATATCGTAACTTGAATTTATTGTGCTTGCTCATGTATGCATTCCTGTGAATGCCATGTGAGAATAACTGATACACACATGATGACAAAAAAATATTCTTTTTTTTGCAAAATCACTTCGTCTTTTGTAATTCTAGACCCAATCTCAACTCATGCACAGTTGAGTGAGGAGTAGGAAAAAAAAGTTTTTCATCTTTTGTTATCAATGAAATTTAATATCATTTCAGTAGAGCAGAATGGGAGCTTTTGTAGGTGCATGGATGGGGAATTCTTGGAAAAAAGTTGATGATGTATTCAAAGAATTAGGATGTGGATTATGAATTATGGGTGGATTATGTATTTTGAGATTTTGGAAGGTAAAAGCTGATTTATAAGCTGGCTAAATGTCAAATTTATAATAAATAGACTTGACCAAGGGGAACTACCAAAAGAAAACTCTGTCAAAGACCATTGTAATGAGCTAGTCTGCAATCTTCTCAAGAACAAAGAATTTTGGTCATGTACCTTGCTTGTCAAGTGGGTGGTAATGAGCATTATTTTGGGAATCGAACTTAAGTCTTATGAAAAGAAAAAATCTTTAGCTTTCCAGTCTGTTGCTTTACTACTCGGCCACAGAGGTTAGCTCGCCTGGATATCACAAGTCGGATAATAAAGACGAAATTCTACGCTAAGACGATTTGAGAACTTCTTGCCACGATTTAAAATTTGTCTTGAAGTCGTTCTGGCGTTTGAATTTGTCTCGATGATCTGACTCAGGTTGGGCTTTTCTTAGATAAATTTGCCTACTTATGACTCGATGCCACTGATTCTACTTTGTCACAATTCTGCACTTATTAAGACCAGTCTACCATCAATCCTGTGATTCATTCGCTTCAGCCCCTTCCTTCTTGTTAATTCATCAAATGCATCCAATTTGTGAGTTTCAAAATAAATTAAATTTCAATATTCTCAAGTTCATACACCTGGCAACAATCATCAGTATTAGAAAAATTGTATATGCTTGTGTGTCAGAGGGAAGCGTCATGTAACATAGGAAAATTGAATATAATCAGCAACATTTTATCATTCTACATCTCTCCCCTACTCGAATTCCAGAGCACACACACAATGTCGCTAAAAATATGAGGTGCAAATCGATTTAATTTGATAACAACCCTATGAGCTTTACTCGCTCGACTAACTTTCTTCATTAAAATTCATTATTGATTTACGTAGTAGGAAATATGCTGATGCTGCCTAGTCGTAAAATATCTTCTTTTTTTTGGGATATTTCAAGCATTTCACGCGTACAAAAATCAATGAAAAAGACACATTGAAATTTCTTCACAAGCGTTACTCGCTATTTTTTTGAGGGGGGTACGATAGAAATTCCTTCTGCTGCTTTCTGTTCCTTATTCTCTTATTTGCATAAAGTAAATTACAATTTAATGCGACTTCACTCGAGAGTAAAATTATTTGATGAACCAAACTTCACTTTTGGCCTTCCTTCGTTTCTCTTTTCTTTTTTCCGCATCGCGACAACAACGACGATGATGATGATGATTTTTCCCTTTTATCTTAAGGCATGCTGAATTCGAGAAAAAAAATTATACTCGCTGTAATCGACTGTTATGTTTTCTTGTGCTGTTTATTATTGGATGGCTGAGGAGGAAAGAAATCATTTTGTCCTTGGAAGGAATAAACACTTGGATGATCTAGAAGTTGGAACTGTGACTGATGAGCTCTATTCGCATACATACATACATACATACATCGCTGGCTTTAAAGATCAATTGTGATCCATAGCGTCCCTTAGTTTGCGTCTGAAAAAGACTCTGTCGCTGGCTCCTCTCTGCCAATCGCTAATACCAAATGCTATGCTATCTCGGTCAACAGCTTCCTCTATTCACATATCTGAAGTATTTAATAACATATTTGATGAGAGTTGAAGTAACAAGTTATGGTCTTTTAAGATTATTTCAAAATTTTATCATTTAAATGCTCCAAGGGGGAAACAACTTGATGATTAAAGTTTTGGTGGGATCTTTCAAGCAATTACCAATCATTTCCTCCAAACCACATTGACATGTGTTGGCAAAACATTTTAAAATTGATATTGATTCTTCAACAATACTCCTGAACAGCACAAGTCAGTTAATTGATCAGAAATCCGGTACTAAGCTGATAAGACTCTGGCATGTTGCTAGATTTGAATCGAAGCCAGCACCATGCCAGATTCATGCAGGCTTAACGCCTGATTTCTATTCAATAAACTGACTTCTGCTTTTCGATGCTATTTTTCATCAAAACTGCTTCTCTTTATGTTGTTTTCCCCTTTGGATGCCCTAAAAACCATAGAACATGCTTAATAAGTCACTTATCATCTCAATTGATCAATGGATGCTCCCATTAAGCAGTTCTAATGAGTTGAGAGCATTCTTAATATTCATAATCTTCGTCTGCTGCAAATAGCTTCACAAAAAATGCGCTTTAGCCACTCCAAAACCTCATACCTCACAAAAAATTAATTTTTCTCATCTCTTTTTTCACTTATTCATTCATTTATTTTCATTTTCCTCGCATTTTTCAAAATCACCTTCGTTTCACTTTTTGAGTTTGTTTTGGCTGTAAAGGAAGCAGCAATAATAAGCATGGCAAAGAATAAAAGAAGAAGAGAAAATTTATTAAAGATGATTTTTATATGATGAAGCACCTTTCCTTTTGTATTAAGTCAGGAAATCATTTGAGGTTATATACAGCTATGCAGATATGGTGGGAGATTGAAATATACACAGTATATAAAAAAAAATAAAAACTTTGTTCCGCAATCAATCAATCAAAAAATAAGCAAGAATGAGAGATTTTACTTTTTTGATACGAGAATAAATAAATTTATCAGGACTTTTAATGCACGAGTAATTTTGATGTGAATTATTGCAGCTAATTTTTTCGACATTTAACTTTGGTCGTAATGAATTGAAGCTTATGAAAATGCTTAGATAATCATAATAATTTCATAATCGTAAATGTTGTTTATTCGACAATTATTTTCGGCTTATAAATTTTTATTATGAATATTGGGTAGTAAAATGAGGTCCTTATGGGGAATTATTGGAGGTTTTTTAGGTCATCATTGTGTCGGAAGTCGAGGAGAATCTAGTTTATCAAGGTTCATATTGTCGATTCTGTCAGTGCTAGAATATGGTCTCTGCAGTCGATTGGTTAAGCATGAGAGCGGAAATTTTAAACCTCAATGATTTATGAGGATGTGTGTTCGATTCCTACCAGTGGTAAGAATACTGAATTAGTAATATGAAGTGCATATGCTCAGCACTTACTTGTCAACATTAGTTTATTAAGGGGCCGTACTTATTACATAACGCAAAAAACGACTTTTTTCAACCGAACGTTACAATTTTTCAAACACCCCCTTCCCCCTAAAATGCGAACGTAATAAGTGAAAGGCCCCTAATTGAGTTCAAGTCGAGTAGGTGGACATGACTAGAATCTATTTCCTGAAAGCTTATTTAACTGGCAATTTTAATGCTTAATTCAAGAGTACGAAGTTTACTTTGGATACAAATTAAATTCAATAGTATTGTTTAGTCTCTGTCAGGTTAAAACATAGTCTTAAACTAGTTTAAGGATCTAGTTTCAAGCTAAAATCAGAAGTAAGTTTCAATTCTTGCCTAGGAGCTTAGTTTCAAGCTGGGCTAAAGAATATAATTTCAAGTTTGGCAAAGAACCTATTTTCAGGCTTAGAATCGAGTAAAACCCATCGGAACTCTCAAAAAATCATCAAAAAGGTTCCATATGATCCATAAAGAATCATTAAATGACATAAAAGCATTACAGCATATTGTTTAATTAATCCCGTCTTATCAAAAGATAATTCCTCCTTAAACTCGTTTAAATAAATCCATTAAATCCTTTCAAGTAAATCTCACAAAATGTCCCTAAAGGCACAAGCAATATTTTTACGACGAACGAAAAAAGAAAAAAAAGTCAATAGCAAGGAAAAAGTTCACGACATTTTTTATGGAAGCTGTTTAACTATATTTTATGAGATTATCACGAAAACTATAACATTCATTATAGCTCAAGCTTAAAAATATAAGCACTAGAAGAATGAATAAAAGAAAGGAAGGCAG